GAGGTTGAGGCAGGAGAATTATAAGTTCAAGGCCTCCGTGGGCTACATATTGAATTCGAGGTCAATCTGGACAACTTAGTGAGACCCTGTGTTAAACTCGTGTTTTTTTTTTTTTTTAAATTTGTGTTTTTAAAAAGCACTGAAAGTATAGTTCAGTGGTACAGTGTTGCCTAGCATGTACAAGGCCCTGTGTTCAATCACACACACACACACACACACACACGCCTAGGAATGTGTTGGAAAGGAATGTGAACTTTATCTATTGGAGAATTTTAAGAAGCAGAGAGCTGGGCCAGGCGTGGTAGTGCGTGCCTTTAATCCCAGCACTTGGGAGGCAGAGGCAGGCGGATCTTTGTGAATTCGAGGCCAGCCTGGTCTACATAGTGAGTTCCAGGCCAGCTGGGGCTACAGGGAGACCCTGTCTCAAAAAAGAAAAAAAAAAAAAAAAAGAAGAGGCAGAGAGCTAATGTCTTGTCTGTATTTCCTAAATTCCTTTCAACAATAATGCAACAGCATACAGAATTTAAAAGTTAATGGATTATGGGGCTGAAGACATGGCTCAGTAGCTAAGAGCATTGGCTGTTCTTGCAGAGGACCTGTGTTTGTTCCCAGAACCCACATAGTGGTTAGCAACTGTCCATAACTCCTGTTCCAGGGCATCTGATGCCCTCTTGTGACAGGCATTGCATACATATAGTGCACTTATATGCATGCAGGCAAAACACTCATAACACATAAAAATACATAAGTAAACAAAAATATGGATTATACAGAGGTACTAGGGAGGAATTTTGTGAGGCTTCCACTTGTCCAAAGAGGGGACAATTTGAACATCAGTAAGAATAAGTACAAAGACTGAAATGTGGATTAAAGTCCATGAATTCATAACTTCACTAAAAATATTACAGGTCATTTTTGGAGGCTTCTGAAACATGAATTCACTCTGAACAATGTAAAGAATCAAGGGTTTACTGTGGAACATGGTAATCCCAACACTTGGGAGGCAGAGGTGGGAGGCTCTTGAATTTGAAGCTATCCTGGGGTAGACAGTGAGACCTTGACTTAAAAAAAAAAAATAAGAGTTTTGCTTTTTTAAGATCCACACCGTAATCAAGTGGCCAACTAAAGAAAAATTCTCTTTTAAAGTCCTCTTTATGGTACTGTTCTAGTTAATGCATTTTTTTAAAGAATGCTAAAATATTTCTGCCCTCTCAGTCAGTATATATCTGATGATTACTAGTCATAGTTGGTTATTTTCTGAGCTCCTTGGCATCTGAGCATAGATATAAAGTCATCAGGTAGATTTCAATGGTAATGTTTTTCACATCTATTAATTATCAAGGAGCAAATTTTTATGCTAATAAAGACTAATTTTACCTGCTTTCAAATCTGTCACTGGACCCAAACAGTATGTCAGGCCTTATTTTGCTTAGGTTAATGTCTATGACACTTAGGAAAATATGTAGCATGAGGAAAAACCAATTGCACAAAATGGTTGGGTCTTGACTGGGAAAAACCAATTGCACAAAAGCCTTATTGCAACAACTGGGGAAATTCTAACATTAACTAGATGTATAATTGCTATTAAGGAGTAAGTTATAAGCCGTATGACAGTGGTATTGTGGTGATGTTTCTTAAAAGCTCTCGTCTTTTAGAAATATATGCTGAAATAATTGTGGATGAAAAAATGTTGGAGGTGGGAAAGTGTGGGGGATGCAAGTGGCAACCGCTAGAAGTAGGTGATAAGTAATGGGCGTTCAGTGGATGCTCACTCTACTTTTATGTATGTTTGAAATTTTCCTTAACAAAAAGCTTCTTAAAATATCGATGGGGGCTGGAGAGATGGCTCAGTGGTTAAAAGCACTGGCTACCCTTGTGGAGGACTGGGGTTCAATTCCCAACACCCACATGGAGGCCAATAATTGCCAGTAACTCCAGTTCCAGAGGATCTGATGCCCTCTTCTGGCCTCTGTGGTGTACTTACATGCAGGCAAAACACTCATATACAGAGAATTTTTAAAAAGGGGAAGGGGGTAAGGCTGGAGAGATGGCTCAGCTGTTAAGAGCACAGGCTGCTTTTCCAGAGGACCCAGATTCAGTCCTAAGCATCCACATGGTGGCTAACAACCATTCATAAATCCAGTTCCAGAGGATCCAATGCCCTTTTCTGGCCTCTGTGTGTATTGCACGCATGGGTACACTTATATACACGGAGGGAAAATACTCATACACATAAAAAAAAAGTAATTAAACATATCATTGATGTTAGGGAAATTTGATGGAAAGAACTATTTCTGATATATATTTTTTTGGTCTTTTTGAGACAGGGTCTCCCTGTAGCCCCAGCCTCAAACTCACAGAGATCCACCTACCTACCTCTGCCTTCCAAGTGCTGGGATTAAAGGCATGTGCCACCACATCTGGCTATTTCTAATATTCTAAAATTAATTTATATTTTTATGTGTATGAGAATAATGCCTGCATGTATGTAAGTGCACCCATGTCGTGCAGTGCCTGCAGAAATCAGGAGAGGGTATAAGATCACTTGGATCTGGAGTTATGGGCAGTTATTAGTACCATGGTTCTGGGATTTGAACCCGGGTCTTCTGCAAGAGCAGTCAGTGCTCTTAACTGTGCTGTTTCCTACACCTATTAAATCATACCTTTTTGTTCTTTTTGTGACAAGGTCTCCCTGTAGCCCCAGCTGGCCTGGAACTTGCTATGTAGACTAGGCTGGCTTTAAACTCACAAAGATTCGCCTGCCTCTGCCTCCCAAGTGCTGGGACTAAAGGTGTGCGCCACCGTGCCCAGCCTCCAGCCCTATTTCTAATATTCTATATAGCATAGTAGACCAACTATTATACTGTTGAAATGTGTACTTCTAAATAGGTAGTATGCAGGTCTTTGAATATTCCTAACAAAAAGAAATGATGAATGTGCGAGGTGGTAGGTATGTCATTTACCCTATGTGATCACTATGAATTGCATATATAGATATATGTATATGTGTGTGTGTCTCAGTATATCCCACCAATGTGTACAATCATTACATGCCAATTAAAAAATATATATATTCTAAAAATCATTAATTGAAAAAAGCAAGTCATAGAAGTATAATATAGCTCATAGTTTATGAGCAGGTGATAGGTCACAAAATAAAAAAAAAACAGGCATGAAACAGAAATATAAAAATCTCAGTGGTTAAGAGCACTGGCTGCTCTTACGGAGGACTTAGATTCCGTTCCCAGCACCGACTTGATGACTAACAACTTTCTCTAACTCCAGTTCCGTGGGATCTGACGCCTTCCCCTGGCCTCTTTTGGCATTGCATGTGCAGGTGCTCTCACATCCAAACAAGCAAAACACTCATGCACATAAAAATTTTTTTTAAATAAAAATGAAAGTAAAAGTATGATTCTTGGGACCCCAAAGAGAGGAAAGGAAGAAAGATATTTGAAAGGGCATATAAGGGGATGTGGTGTTTTGTTTCAGAAAAAAATAAACAGGAAAAATATTAAGATTTGACAAAGCTGTGTGCTGAGTACTTAGAAGAAAAGTGTTCACTATGTTTTCTGGAGGAGAGAGAGAGAGAGAGAGAGAGAGAGAGAGAGAGAGAGAAGGCTGGCTATAGGCTGCTGAAGAGCAAAGGCAGAGTTAGCGCCAGATGAAGCACTGCATGGAGAAGGGGCAGGGACTGGATTCCAGAAATACGTAGGAGGCAGAATGGACCAGATCTGATTGATGGGGGAATGGGGGAAGGGTAAGGATGAAGCTCAGTTTTGGTGGGATGGTAGTGATGTTGGCTTGGGAGTGGCAGGAAACAGATGAGTTGTGGACAGGATGGGTTAGGAGCTGGGGTGGAAACTTAGGAGGGATAGCCAACCAGTTTGCCCACTCTTAAGGTAGACACTTTACCTATTGGTTTTTGAGACATATTGTACAATTTATTTACTGCTTTAATATGATGATCTTTACTCATCCCCCTTAAAAAAAACACCCCAGTTATGAAGTGAACAGTTTGCAGTCAGTGGTACCTTAGAATAGAGAAAATAACACAGATTTGGGCTCATGCACAAATAAGTTAGTGTTTGTATATGGAAATTGCAGGGGTTATAAAAATCTGTGTGCCTTTTGTCTCCCTGGGTCCCTTCTAAAACACAGATCCACGTCTCTGGAAAGGTTACTTACTGGTAACCCAAGGGGGAGGGGGTTGAGGAAGGGGAGGTATCATCACTGATACGGTGATGGGAGAAAGGTGAGGCATCTTAGACCAAGAGTCTGTACCAGGAAAGGAAGAACCTGGGAAGAGAAGACTCCAGAGGGGCCTGAGGAGGAGGGAACAGAGTAGGAGACAGGAGGAGGTGTCAGTCAAGGGCAAAGTTAAGTTTCACAGAGGAGCAATGACAGCATCAAATGCTGCAGGAGGTGCTGTGGGAGGAAGGCTGAAAAGCCCCTGAGAAGATGCCTTAACCTCTCTGAGTCTCCATCTCCTCCTCCATAAAGGGGTGACTGGCTTGTTCTCCCAGAGGACAGAATGAAGTCAATGTTCAAAGCCCTCAGCCCGCTGCAGCACATCTTAAGCATTCCAAGTCTGTGGGAGGGTGGCTATTTTTCCATTTTCTTTTCATTCCTCTCCCCAGTTTACTGGTAAGTAAACAGAAGACTCCGGTGGTGGGGGGCAAGGTTAGATTCAGGTCATGGGCTAATGCAGGCTTAGTTTATCACTGGTGCTCCTAAACTATGTCCCTCAATACACACACACACACACACACACACACACACAGATACCACCAGGCCCCCAACCTTTTAGAAATGCACCCAATCTCATCAGGGGCCTTAGCCAGCTGTCCCTGGGACTTCTGTGTCTCCAAGAGCAAGATGATTATCCTAAGAGGCTATTCCAACCCTAGCCAACTGAAGCCGAGCTCTACTCCATAACCCTGGGTTAGAGAAGGAAGCTGAAGAGGGCTCCCGGGTCTGCCCACAGCCTTCAGACTCACCTCAGAGTTCTCTACCACCTTCTCCAGGTACTTGTTGAAGATGACGTAGTCTTGTAGCTTGACACTCAGCCTCTGGTGCTCCAGACGCAGTGCAATCATCTCCTGCTTGGCCTTGGTCAATTCCCGGAGGCGCTGCTTCTTCAGTTCCCGCTCCTTGTTGGCTTTCTTCAGGGCACGGATCCGTTTCTGGTCATTCTCCTGGGATGAGGGAGGCAGTGTGAACTGCAATGTTTTGCTGTCCCTCCCTGAGACCCTGGGCCTATCTGGGGCTAATGAGACCCTCAGCCCCTTTCCATTTCCTGAGCTCAGACTATGAGAAGGACAGGCAAGTGTTGCTGGGCTGCCCAAGTTGGAGAGAAGGTGTACAGGAAAAGGATTTAGCAAGGCTTTTATTATTTGAAGGTACCTTTTTAAAAAATTTTTACAAAAATTTTATTGAGAATTTCATACACGTATATAAGGTATTTTGATCAAATCCATGCCTACTCCCTTCCCTCCAACATTGCCGCCTCTGAAGAGGTAACCTTGAAATCTTAAGGATTAGATACAAGCCCCAAATGCTTTTGACATTTTTGGAAAAAGAGTATGTTGCTAACAGGCCCCAAGGACATTTTGACTTTTAGCCAAGAAACTGGCTACTGTTCTTTGGGGTCTTTTTACTCTAACTGCCTAGCCAGTTCCTACCTCCTATTCTTATCACGCCATCCTCTGAAGGGGTTACCCAAATTGCCAGTAGGGAATAGGGATGCAGACTGCTCTGGCTTCTTCCATGCTAAACAGGGACGCAGGGTGAGGTAATTGAAGTACCCCATCTGTGGGTCTATTTAAAAGACTCCCAAATTGCATAACTCTTGTCTCTAAGGGAAGAAGAAAGTCCTTGAATCATGAATGGGAGATGTGAAGGAGAAGTAAAGGCAAGAGTAATTAGCATTACAGGCTCTAGACAGGGAACTAGAAAAAAGTCAGAGCAGGGCAATTTTCAGATGTTCATATGAAAGTCCATTGGAGTTTCTTGACAAGGGCTCCCAAAAGCATCCTTCTTTTGGGTTCTTCCTCATTTTTCTTTTGTCTTCCAAGGCTGGACTAATTGGCCAGGAAGAGTGGCTGGATACTCAGGTGAGGGTCCAGTGACGCTGCTTGGCACTTCTTTAATGAATGAGAACAACTGTCAGCAAGCCCAGTTGTGACTTTGCTTAGCGATCAGGTTAAGCTGAAGTCATGATGATGGTAGTTATTTCATGCAGAAGGGACTGCTGTATAGCATCATCTTATTAAAAGGACCTGGAATTTAAAAGGATTTGGTGCTAGGAGCCACATATGAGGGAGAACATATGTTATTTTGTTTTTCTGGGTCTGTGTTACTTCACTTAGTATAACAGTTTCTAGATCCATCCATTTACTTGCAAATTTCATTATTTCTTTCTTTAATGCTGAATAGAACTCCATTGTATAAATATACCACATTTTTGTTAACCACTCGTCAGTTGAGGGGCACTTAGGTTGCTTTCATCTCTTAGCTATTGTGAAAAGAGCAGCAACAAACATGTTGTACAAGTGTCTCTACAATAGGATGAGTCCTTTGGGTATATGCCAAGGCATGGTATAACTGGGTCATGTGGTAGGTTCATTTTTAGTGTTTTGAGAGTTCTCCACACTGTTTTCTACAGAGGCTGCACAAGTTTGCAATCTCACCAGCAGTGAATGAGAGTTCCCCTTTCTCCACATCCTCACCAGCATTTGGTATCATTTGTTCTCTT